TTTTCATTATTTTATTAGTTTTTATATTTAAAATTTACCCTTTTATATGTTTTTTTTATCTTTCACACACTATTCACTTTATTATTTTTTTCTACATATTTCCTTCATTATTGACCACACGCTTTTACCATATTTTTTTAATCTCCTCTCTCTCCACGTTTTATCTCGTCTCTCATCTCTCCCTCCTTCCTCATGACTGCACACAGACCTCCTTCTCCTTCATCTTCATCACCTTTTCCATCTTCACAAAATCCACTTACACCCATCAATCTCTCTTACTGACAATTATTTTTTCCCTCTACACCACAGCATATCTACCCCTCTCTCTCCCTTTTCTATTTATCTATTTTTCTTCTTTTTTCATTTTCTTCGTCTATTTCTTTTCTCCCTCCATATTCAGTCACCCACAACTTGTTCCGGTCATCCACGACCAGATTCAACAAATTCCGGCAACCCACGTCCAGATCCGTCAAATTCCGGTCGCCCACGGCCCTACTCCACCCAGATCCAGCCACCCCGCCGAATTCCGCCCATATGCCGCCACCATAGCCACCTTAACGCAGTGTTTTAGACAAGAACCGGAGTCAATGGCCGGTTTCCGGGTTCACCGGTTTTGTCCGGTCGAACCCGGTTTTAGACATTTGGACCGGTTTTTTAGTTTTTCCGGTTTTGGGGATTGGATCGGACCGTTTTCTTCACGGGTCGCGGTCGGACCGGTTCGACCGGCCGGTCCGGTCCGGTTCTGATAACCTTGCCCCTCTCTCTCCTTCTCTCTTTCTCTCTCTTCCCTATCCCTCTCTTTCTCTCTCCTCCCTACACCTACCCTACCCTACCCCTCCCTCATCTCTCTCTCTCTTCTCTCACCCAACACACCCCCCACGTGACCACTCACATTCTCTCTCCATCAATCACATCGCGCGGCCCACTCTCCTCTCTTCCATCAATTAAAGGCGCGGTCCACCCCACCTTCCTCCATCCGCGCGAATCCTACCGTGTTATATCAAATCGCGCGCAGATTCCATCTCGCTTCACCAAATCGCGCAAATTTTTCAATGCGCTTCACCAAATTGCTCGAGCTATTCAATGCGCCTCACCAAATCGCGCGCGCTCCCACCTAAATGGGCACAACTTTTGCTACTCTCCACCAAATTGCGCGTAGATTTCACCTTGCTTGACCAAATCGCGCGAGAATTTCAACGCGCTCCACCAAATCGCGCTCGCTATCAAACGGATAAATAAAAACATTTATTTCTCCACGCCATGCCAACGATAACGCAACACTACAACACCGATCTACTCTCGACACGATCCGGTACCCTTTTCGACTTGGCTCCCACATCGTCCCGAGAGTGGGGGGCTTGCGAGACAACTCCCGCGAGGAGCCAACTCGCTCGGAACTACTCCCACGAGGAGACAACTCGCTCGGTCATACAACTAGCAGCGAGACAACTCCCACGAGAAGACAACTCGCTCGGTACTACCAACTCGCAGCGAGACAACTCCCATGAGGAGCCAACTAGCTCGGTCCTACAACCCGTTGCGAGGCAACTCCCACGAGGAGCCAACTCCCTCGGCACTACAACCCGCATCGAGACAACTCCCACGAGGAGCCAACTCGCTCGGCACTACAAATCCAACCTTAGAAACACTTAGAGATATTACGAGAATCTATATAGCCTGGCCAGCTTGATTACTCAAATTTCTCTACTTGTTTTCGACGGGTGTTTATTAAAACGTGGCCACGGTCCAAACATATGTACGACCCACGAGGTCTAACAAGGGGCACGATCCCCATATAAAAAAAAAATCTTGAGAGCCTGATCCACTCATCAAGTACATCACGCACAAGGCTATATGTAAACACATATAAGCAACGCGTCAAACCTTTGACAACGTCAATAACTAAACAACTCCCACGAGGAGATAACAACGCCGACGACTCAAGTAATTTACATCGCGACGTTTTGGTCGCGCTACGCGCCAACGCGCCTTCACTCCCCTCCAACACACGCTCCAACGCGTTTTCGCACACCATCAGGCCTTACGCCAACGAGCGACTACTACAATTTTTACTCTCGACACGATCTGTCACCCATTTCGACATGGCCCCCACATCGACTCGAGAGTGGGGGCTTAATGATATGCCTAATTGGGCCAACCCAATGGACTTACAATTTATTTACCTACTGGGCCACGAGCCCAATATTGAAGACTAATATCACCGAGGCCCAATCACCTTCAAATAAGGTTTGGGCTCAACGATCTCATCTATGGTATAAATAACGATATAATTCATTTGTTAAAGGTAAGCCCTATTATTTGAGTAATACTACTATTCGAATTCTCTCTACAATCATCGACTATCTTCACGTCTGACTTGAGCGTCGGAGGGGTTTCCGCCGGATCAACCCCCGGCCTAGTTCACGTATTCTTTGTTCGCAGGTATCTCAGGGCCATCTAGCACGTGAGCAGTGATCCACTTTGCTCTCCCAGCTCCTTCGATCTCAACTACTTAAGGTGATCTATTTTTAGCATCATCAATCTTGATTAAATAAATTACTCCAAGCCATCAACTTAAAAATTGTATTCCTCGTGAATCGTGATTAAATGATTAATAATTAAATATTAGTTACTAATCAGTATTATCCAAAAGGTAATAGTCATATATCAGCGATATCAGCGGCAGAACCAGTATAGAACTAGATAATTTTTTATGTAAAGATTAAAAAAAAATCATGTATAAATCGCACTATCGGCCCTCTTTTATAAAAGTTTTAATGCATTCAGCCCCGCGAACTTAACATCCTGGTTCCGCCAGTGACAACTGCATTCTACCCTTTTAGTCATTTTCCATCATAAAAACATGATGAATTGTCATCTTCATGACAGTTGAAATGCCCAATTTCTGAATTTGTCTGAAGTGTACATTTAACCATAATGTATCACATTGTACCAAAATTGAATGAGCATGACCTTTATTATAGATAAAAACAATCTTTCGGCGCAAGCGGTGGCCGGCGAACGAAGCATAGAGCCACGAGGGGGGGGGGGGGGGGGGGGGGGGGGGGCCCCCCCCCTTTCAAAAAAATTTTGGTCCCCT